GGAGCATTCTTGGGGCTACAATGAAAAGCTCTGTTTCATCTATCAAAGATGACTCTGTTCAGTACTGCACATTCTACTCTGTTAATGAAGTCAAAAAGAAAAAAAGCGTAAGCTGGCTAATCCATGGACACAACAAAGAGAAACAACACAGGTTCGTCTACAATGTAATCGGTCAAATGCGGCTTAGCAACTCCATGAGCTTAGATATAACCGAGAAGAAATCCGAAAACATCTCTCCTGTGATCAGAGAATCAGTTCTGTTTGATGATTCAGAGCAAGTAAAAGGGAGGAAAGAGGTTGCAGCTGTAGTGATCAAGAAGAAGCCGGTCGAAGAGAACTACACCGGCCTCGAGGAAACCACTGTGATAATTCCAGGCGGGGTTCACAGTTTCCCGGAGAAAGGAGCACCTTCACCGTTGATTAGCCGGTGGAGATCCAGAGGGTTATGCGACTGCGGTGGCTGGGATGTTGGATGTAAGCTCCACATCCTCTCCAACAAAACATTCCTCCATGAATTCGACCAAAGCTTCAAACTTTTCGACCAGGTAACATTAACACAACTCAACAAAAGACCGAGTAGTTAAGACTAGATTGATGAGTTTTAGACCCTAAACCTAAGAAAAGACTTTGTTTGCATTGCAGGAAGGAAGTGAACATGACTCGGGTCCGGTACTGGCGATGAAGGAGGTGAAGACAGGGATATACAGGGTTGAGTTTGGTTCGTTTGTTTCGCCTCTACAAGCGTTTTTCGTGTGCGTGACGGTTATAACATGTGGCTCTGAGGAGGACACGGTGTCAAAGACCACCGGAAAATCTTTATCTCCTTTTGCTCCGCCGCTATCTCCGGTTGGTAGAGTCTAAAAACACCACATAAACAAAGAGAGAGTATCTAATGATCGTATTCTCTTATCTTATAAATTCCCAACTTGTACTCTCTTCTTCTCGTGTCAAAAGCAAAATTTACGCTAAAATTGCGAAATTGATCAATTCTTAACCAAAACAAAGTAAACTTTAGGAGTTTCGTTAATGGTGATTAGAAAACTTGAACACTAATTAACGAAATAGCAAAAAATCATTTACAACGGAAATCAAACTTATAAAAAACGTGTATACGCTTTATTATTGGCCACCTCTTGCTTTCTTTGTAAAGGAGAATCGATTATTGTTAAAAGCTCCAACATGGTTTTTAATATTTAGGAGCGTCATAATCAATAGTGCCAAGGGATAATATGATATAATTACATAATGCATAAAGTGTAGTTAAAGATTGTTAAATCTGTTAACAATTATAACTTGCACTTAAGATATACTAATATACTTTGTATTGGTCATATTCTATCGATATAAAGACACTTTGTTTTCCTCGACAAATTCATGAAAGACGCACTCACTATATAAGTTTTTATCGTTTGTGATACCTTTCTTAACTTTAAAATAATTTAACAGACTGGCGCGGTAATTAAGAATTAAGAAGAGATCATTATTAAGGTACTAAAGAGCATTAAGAGTATCACCAACA